AACTAATCAGCACGATTCCCAACCAATATCTTTCGAACGATTTTTGAATTTTCAAAATCGGTTCAGAATTGCGGGCTAAAACGTAGACGAAAAAAATTTCACTCTTCTGCCGTTTATAAAGAAACGTCTCGGCCGATCGTGCCACAAAACTGACAAACGATAGTCCTCACCGAAATACATCGAATAGCTTTTTAATTTTTTAAATCAGCCCAGCCGTTTTCGAGAAAACGTAGATTTACGGCAAAAAATCTATTCACATACACACACACACACCAAACATACTTTTTCCAAATTTGGTCTCATTCGATTCAGAATGGCTTGAAACGTCGAGAAAACATAAAATTAGCGAATAGGATTTTTTGATGAAAACATAAACTTCTTCGGGAAGTTAAAAAATAATTTAAATAAACAACAACAATAATAGCTAGAAATAGTGGGGCGTATGGCATAGTGCCTTAAGGCAAATTGCTGGAACTTCCCGTACCGAAAACTAAATTATCAAAAAAAACTTTGAAAAAATTTGATTTTTGAGAAATGTTGTAATTTTTGAAAAAATGTCTTTTTTGAAAAATTTGATTTGTTTTATTTTGATTTTTTTATTATTCTGATTTTTTTTTTAATTTTGAACATTTTATTAAGCAATTCATTATAGCGCTTTATAGTTGATTTGGAATCGAGATATCACATGCCATGCACCACTAATTACATTTACACCAATAATGAATTCTCTTAAACATTTTAGTAAAAATCAATTCGTGATTCTCGATAAATAATATTATTTCTACCAACCTGGTTTTAATTACGGTGATTGGTATAAGGGCAGCCCCACTCATGGTTCTTGCAGCAACCCCAAGAGCAACCGCTTGCAATGGGGTTGGCTCGTTTACATTTTCATTCACAAGTGTCTGTGATTTCAGCCAATGTAAGGCTGAAAAGTACAGGCCGACACCAGGAACACATCGTGTTATGGACTGAAAACAAAAATTAAAAATTAGTACTCATTTCTAAAAACTTCATCAAATATCTGATAATAAATGATGATCATTTTTGACCACTAAATATCATCTATTTTTTACTTTTTTCTCTGTATCTCCGAAACCGCTAGACTTGCCTTACCAAAAATTTCAACAATTATTCATTTCGTCTATACAAGTAAGAGTTTTCCCTTCTACAGTATATAATTTAGTTTACAATTATAAGTTTTTGTAATTAAAAAAAATATTTTTAACAAGAAACCTTGATGACGGAATGTGTCTAGTTCCGAAACGTCGTTAATAAATATGTTTTAAAAAAATACAAGTATAAAAATTTTCAGTTAGTGAAAAAATATATACGGTAAAAAAATTTTCAAGTAAGTCAATAATAAAAAAAATTGAAAGAAAACAATTATTTTTTCTTTATTTGAAAACTGTGTACGTTTTGAGTTCTCGCTGGACTCATCTTCAGTGCTACATTAAAAAAATGACAATAAAATAAATTACACAACGATAATACTACAAATTAATGATTATACAGATGTGTAAAATGTAATTTTATATATTTATTTATAGTTGATTTTGCTTTTTTTTATATTTTTCACATCACTTTTAACACTCATTATCATTTTTTTTCCATTATCATTAAAATTGACATTATAGAAATTATCATGTTATTATTTAAATTACTATGTAAATAGAAAATATTAGAAATTATTATTTAATTCATTGTAATTTTTAACTTACCGTTGAGCAAAATGAAAATTTTTATATATCTTTACGTTTCCAAGGTTTCTGAACATTTTAGCTTCGATAAAAAAATGATTGTATGTGTGTGTGTGTAGTATGACAAATTTGATTACAAAAACTTATAAACTAAATTATATACTGTAGAAGGGAAAACTCTTGGAAATTCAACAAATATTAGAAACTGAGTAGTAAAATATATTTATAATATTTTTAATATCCAAATTAAAAACATATATTTTAATTTTTCTCGTTTTAAAACTAGTCCAATTTTTAGATTTTACATATATAGTATATATTATATAATTACATATATATTTTATTTTCTGAACAAAATATTATCAATTATAATTTTTATTTTTAGTTAATTTATGTTTTAATTTTCATTATTGTTCAGTGATTTTTGTATTATAAAATTATATGAGTGTACATAACAGACATGAAAATTCATCATTCAATTTAAAAAAAATCATCCCAAGGCGTGTTCAGGAAAATATTATCATATACGTTTATATAAAGATATAAAATGATAAAAATTTTAAAATCTGTTTAAATATAACTAATGTATTTAAATATTTACATTCAAGCTACTTATTCAAAATTGCTAAAAATATCTATTAAACTATCGTAGGATATTTCACAATAAGGAATTTCAAAAAATTTAGTTAAAAAATTGTGTCAGGGTTATATTTAAGAAAAATGTGTTGTTTTAGTAAAACTATCAGTTACAATTATTTGTCAAGGATTGAAGTGGAATTTCGAGCAAATAAAATAAAGTAAGAAATGAGAGATTCTGCAAGTTTCAATTCTTTTTTAATTAATTTTAGTTTCATTAATAATTGAAAAAATGTTTCAGCCCTATTACAAGAAAACGACCCGGCCGATCTTTACCAAAAACTAATCAGCACGATTCCCAACAAATATCTTTCGAACGGATTTTGAATTTTCAAAATCTATTAAGAATTGCGGGCTAAAACGTGGACGAAAAAATTTTCTTCTGCGATTTACAAAGAAACGGCTCGGTCGATCGTTACACAAAGCTCAGGAACGCTAGTCCTCATCGAGATACATCGAATGGCTTTTAAATTTTTGAAATCGGTCCAGCCGTTTTTGAGAAAACGTCGATTTGCGGCAATAAATCTGTTCGCATACACACACCCACACAAACACATGCTTTTTCCAAATTTAGTCTCATTCGATTCAGTATGGCTTGAAACGTCGAGAAAATATAAAATTATCGATTCGGATTTTTTATGAAAACATAAACTTCTCCTTCGGGAAGTTAATAAAAAATTAAATCATATATTATTTTACAATAAGGAAATATATTATTATAACAATTATTTTACAAATGATCTGCACACATTATTATCAAAGTTGTTTGCAAATTTAATTCACACCCATGCCACATGTTAATATAAATGATTTGCACAAACACAAATGTTCTTGTCTTCTAACAATGTGCTAAGAGTGAAATGTGGAACAAGAACAGTACATCTGGTTTTGCAAAAATTCGAATTTCTAAATTGCCATCTGCTTCGCGACAGATAATATTATAATATTCTAAAAATTCATCACTTCGATCTAGATTATTCAATATAAACCCTAAGTTTTTTTTTTAATTTTTGGATTATTATTTTAGTATTTTTTTATGTGTAATTAAAAAAAAAACTGTATTCTAAATTTTCACTAAAATTAAATAGAGCTTGATTTTTAAATTTAATCTGCTTTGTGAAAATAATTTTTAGAATGCATTATTTTATAAAACATTATTTTTTCCAATATCCTATATTAGTTTTAAGAGATTTAAATTTATATTCTTAAAAAAATATTCACAAAATAATTATACAGAGTATTTACAATGTTCTTTTATTAAAACATAATTTACTTTTGTCGGTCAAAACTAAAGCAATTTTATCAAAAAAAAAATTGAAGTGAAAAAAAAATAAATAGAAAAAATATTATATAAATTGTATACTTTCTAAGAGAAATAAATTTATAAATAAATAAATAATTAACAGATCAAAAAAGCTAAACTAAATTGCAATAAAAAAAAATATACATATACATTTTCACAAAATGCAGTTTTTAATTTAGAAATTAAGGTTTAATTAGTTTAACAAAAGTTTTTAATAAAAAGGCAAAAGATTTAACTTTAATTTATTTTTAGAAGTATATTCGTTTATATCATTTTTATTTGATTGATCATTTTTTATTTTTAATGAAATCAAATTTTATTTATTTTTAAAAGTTAAGTTATAAAATATATTCGTTTGTGCTATTTTTATTTTTGAATAAAATGAATGATCATTTCATAGATGAGTCAAATTAGGAACAGAAAATAAAACTTGTATGAAAATCCTTGATTTTTTTGAGAAACAGGAATTTATATTATATTAATTATATTATATATAATTAATATAATAAGGAGCCCATTTGTCAAATTAAAAATAATAAATTAAATTGCAATTTTTTAATATACATTTCTACACATAATATGTGTCTGCATTCATCAAATCAAGAATATAAACATTTGTTTTGAACAATAAATACAAATAAAACTATTATTTTAAAACAATTATTATGTTACTGCATTTTTAGTGAACTCAAATAATTTCTTTTTTAAAAGTAATATTGTATCAAGTTTTGTGTTTTGGTTTTTCTTGGTTTGGAATGTTAATTTTTTTGCTTAATACTTAAATTAATGTTTTAATATTCTTGTAATGGTATACATTGTTTCGAACAATTTTTTAAATTTCGATTAGCTGAACGATGACACATATCGAACGTCAAAATATATAAATAAAATAGTAAATTACTTATTTACCTTACATATATATATATATATATATATATATATAAATATATACATATATGATAATAATAATAATTATAATTATACTTACAGGTGTGATTCCTGTCCAAAGTGCTAATAATTGTTCTTTCTTTAGAATTGTCGTTAAAACTGTTACCATTCCACATGATCGAGGACTGAAAATGAATAAAAATAATTACATTATTATAATAAAAATATTGATCACTATATTGGAAATAATAAATAGTTATACTAATAATTTATAACTATAATATTTTATATATGTAATACAATTTAAAGAACTTCACAAAAAAAATTTCAGTTAAATTTATATAATTTATTATGTTTCACAAACGTTATCTTTCTGTATTGCTATTAAATTGTAAAACAGTGTAATTAAAAATAGTATAAATAAAATGAATACATAAAATTTGATAAAATAAATTAATGAAATATTTTTTATTTAATTTATATTTCTCAACAAAAAATTTATTTAACTAAATTTGTCACTCTTAGTTGATATTGAATTTTAATTGTATAATTAAACAAAATATAACAATTTAATAAAATATTTTCAATTTAATTTAAACTTGTTCAATTAAAAGTTTGTAAAATCAAACTTTAAAAATTTAAAAATCTCTGTTGTTAATTTTAATTAAAAAATAGAATAGATTTGGAAAATAATTTCAATACTTGTTCTATATCTAATTAAAATTTATATAACATCAAACTAAAATTATATTTTTGGATTGCTATTTTATTCAAATATAGTTTAAGTATTAAATAGCACAAATTAATGAAATATTTTTAATTTATACTTGTACAATTAGAATTTTATATAATATTTAACTAAATTTAAACTTTCTAAACTGTTATTCAATTCATAAATAGTATAATTCAAAAAAGCAAAAAAATAAAGCACTTTCAATTTAATTTGTACATATATGTAATTAAAAATTACCTTTCTGAATCGTTATTTGATTGTAAAATAGTATAATTAAAAAATAGAACAAACTATTCAAGTATTTTTAATTTTAGTTATACTTGTTAATTGAATTATAATAAAAAAAAAATAAAAAATATTTAATTAAAAATTTTCATAACATTTAATAAAATTTACATTTCTGGACTGTTATTTAATTAAATATTTCAGAAATAGTTTAAATTAAACAATATTTCTTTTATTTTATAGTAATTATAGTGATATTAATTTATATCAGCAGTCAGGAAGCTTTTTATTACCTCATAATATTTTTTTGAATAATCAGCAAAAAAAGTGAAATAATCTTAAAATTATTTTCAATTTGAATTCAATTTTAAGGTTATTATAAAACTAAAAGTTTAATGTGAACAAAACTGCATTTTAATTTAAATTTTAATGTAGCTGACTTAATTCAAGGTCTAACTATTGAATAAATATACTTTTTATCCTCAAAAATTGTAGTAAAAATTTACACCGGTTCCCTGACCGCTTATTAATTTTAATAAATAAATGAAATAATCTCAAAATTATTGAAAGAACTAAAAATTTAAATTAATGTAAACAAAATTGCATTTTAATTCAATTTTTACTGAAGCTGACTTAGTTCAAAAACTATCAATTAAATAAATAAACTTTTTATACCCAAAAACTTTAATAAAAATTCACACCGGTTCTATGACCCCTTATTTATTTTAATATTAATTAAATTTGTATTGATGGAATTTTTATAAATTGTTATTCACTTCATAAGAAGTATGATTTTAAAGCATTAAAAAGGTAATAAAATTTGTATTTACCAAGTAGAACTTTGTGGAGTGTTCTGCAACCTCGTTTTAACTAAATCCAACGGTTGAAACAATATCGCACTGAACGTTCCTGAGAAAGAACCTGCCAGAAAAGACTTCAGAACTGGATACTGCAAAAATTAAACAAACGATAAAAAAACATTCATTTCTCCAATTTTCAATATATGAAATGATGATGCTTTACTACCATGCTGTTACAATGAACAATGATAAAGCAAAAAAAGCATTGTACTTACATTTGCGACAATATCCATTCTCTGTATTTGTAACACAAAACTTGTTTCAATCACTTTTTTTCAAACAATATAAAGATTGCTTTTCTTGTCATAAAATTTAGTATGCAGATAAATCAAAAACTCACTAATCTTTCGGCTAGACAAGTATTTTCTCAAACACCTGTCTAATGCTGTTGAGTCGTATCTGAGTAATCTGAATAATAAATTGGGTTTACACGAAAGAACTGGAACATTATTTTTGGAGTCGAGGAACTTTTGTAAATCGAATGCATGGGTGAAAGACTCTTGGGTAAACACTTTGGATAAAAAAAGCAGTATGTAAGTTAGGTTAGGTAAGTGAAAGTGCAATTCAAAGTGCAATGTATGTGGTATGTTTGTTTTAGTATTAATCCAGCCAACACAGAAGCAGTCAAACAACTGACTAAATACACTAACAGTACATGCTTTTATATGGAGCTGGGGGGCAAGAGGACATGTTATAAATAAAATACATATGCAAGCGTTCTGAGGGGGCACTAACACAAATACATAAATTTAATCTTACATCATCCAGGCCTCTTATCTTAACTGTGGGGTCACTGATGGCACTGTCAATATTGAATCTTCTCAAATGTCCTTCTATCTCGGCAGCAGACATAATCTTTCATCCATTACAAGAAAAAAATCGCAAAACCGAAAAATGACTTTTTGAGGTTATGTTGAAAAAAAATTTTTTGCACGCTATAATTTGCACACAAAACTAGTATAAATGATTATAAACAAGTCTTTTACTACTGTGTCACTATTTATATGTATATTATTTAACTATTAACACAATTATTACATCTGACATAATCGAACCACCTGACAGTTGTGATAAAATGTTTTATTGCGCAAATTCGAATTGGCGAACAAACACATGCAAAAAAAATTAGTCGTTTATATTTACAAGGTTGTCTAGAAAGGCTTAGTTATTTACAGAAGCAGATTAGGAATTTGATAAATTAATTTGTAATTAAATTTAATACAAAACGTTAGTAAAAAAATGTTATTAAAAAGATTAAAAACAATTAAGGGTTAACTTCAACTTGTTTGATTCGAGGCGCGCGCCATATTCAAATGTCAAATTTACATGAAAAAACTTATAAAATTATAATATAAATTATTTATTTATTTATTTATTTATTTATTTAAATATATAGCCCACAGATTTCTCCAAGAGGACTCAAAAATACATATACATAATGAATAACAATTAAAATATATAGTTAGTAACATAAAATGCTAAGATAAAATTGCATATAATGCAGAATGTAACAATAATATTTATAAACAGAATAAGAAAATAATGAGATATTTGAAAGAAAATAAAAAGATTGACTTGTGCAGATGAAGATTATTTGATTAGGTGAAGTGTTGTGAATGTCTATTTCATTATTAATTAAGTTAGAGTTAGAGGACATAAGTAGAATAGGCGAATTTAAGAGAGAATTAGATTTAGGGGTAGGATAATTGAAAAATAATTGTGAACGCGAAGATAGCCTTGGAACATTAAAGGATAGTTGATTAAGAATAAGAGGACAGTCTATAGAATTATTGCAAAGTTTAAATAAGAACATAATTGTACAGATAAATCGACGTGAGGCAAGGGAAGGAATACCAAATTCTTTTAGTAAAGTGTTGTGGTCAAAGCCACGTTCAGGGTTAATTTTATATGTTTTATAATAAAGATATTTCAGAAATTTTCGCTGAACCTTCTCTATAGCATCAGAGTTGTTGATATTTATAATAATATTATTATATTATATGTACAAGGTTGTCTAGAAAGGCTCAGTTATTTATAGAAGCAGATTAAGAATTTGATAATTAAATTAATTTTAATTTAATAAAAAATGCTATTAAAAATTGTTGTTAAAAAGCCTAAAACCAATTAAGGGTTAACTTCAATTTGTTTAATGCAAAGTGCGCCCCAAATTCAAATGTCAAATTTACTTAAACAAAGTATTCACTTTTACAATTACAAAAGTCGCCTTGAAGATCAACCAAACTCGCGCTAGAGAACTATCCCGCAGAACAGCCAGAGCAAGATTATAAAATAAATCATATTACTTTAATATATATGAATTTTTAAATAAATTTACATTTTTTTCTAACAAATCTGTGACATTTTCTTTATTTATTTGGCCTTAACAAATTCTATTTCATACAGTTGTTTCTATTAATAATTTATTAGGATTTTTAATCTACTTAAAAAAAGCTAAATTAAGAAACTAAAATATAATAAGTTCTCAACGGCAACACAAAATACAAAACAAAATTATATAAATTTTGTTTAATAAATTTTCTAGAATTTAATTTCGTTTATCTTAAACAGAATATATTTTAAAAGTAGCTAGTGTTCAGTCATATGTTAATTAGGCAAATGTTTAAAATAGTTATAAAACCACAATAAAATATAAAATATAAACGCAGTACAAAAAACTTAGTTTATTTCTTCACACGAAACATTTTTGTTTTTCTAGTTCAAAATCAGCAAGAATTTAGATAAAAGTTAACTAAATTTTTAAAATAGTAATGCATTTCAAATTATGTTTAAAACTATATATTAGTCATTCATCATTGTTCAAATAGAAAATAAAATTATCAAAATTTTTATTTAGACTTTTTGAAATATAGAGCAAAATTCAGAAACCAAACGAAAATAAAACAAGATCTAGAAATTACAACAGTAAAATAATTAAGTTAATTGCACGTTTAGTTATTAATCTATAAATATTGATTAATCTTTAATTCATACGAATTTGAAAATAATATGAATTATAATTTAAACATTAAATATTTGAAGTAAATAAATGCAAGTTTAGTTCTTCATACAAAATAAATTTGTTTTAAGGAAGTATATCTAGCATATTTTTTTACTTTTTCAACAAAAATCAATTTTAAAACAGAAAATGTGTAGAAAGAAGTGAATTAAATTTTTAAAATAGTTATATATCCTAAATTAATTATTTCAAGAATCTTCATTATTTTTATTATCAGGGTATTCATTATCAATGATAATTTATCGAGCAAAAATTAAAAAATTAGAAAGTATTTTTAATTCAAAGCTAAATTTAAAAACCAAGAGGACTAATTCAGTTAGTTTATATATTTATTATATTTTTGTCTAATAATAGTATAAATGTAATTATAGTGTTATATTAGTTAAGTATAAGTTTATTTTAATTTATTTTAATATTAAGTTATTATAGAATTTAATTAATTAAGTGCAGATTTTTTTTTAATTGAAACTATTTTAGATAATTATTTTTATCAGAACGCCTGACTTATATTTTTTATCGTAATATTCCATAACATTAACTAGATTTCAAATTTAGACAATTTCAAAATAAAATAACTTAAAAAAAATTAGAAATCAAAATGTGTAGAATGCAGATAAGTACTAGTTTAGTTCTTCACACAATTTTGTTTTATAATTTTCCTCCATTGATTTCCGTTTTTGTCATCAACAAAAATTCCATCAAATTCAAAACTAGCAAAAGTCCATCCTGGTGTAAACTAAACAATTATAGTATTTGTGCTCACTCAGAGGAATAGCAAGAATAACAATAAACAAAGTCATTCATGCGAACAATAACTTGTAAACAAATCTATTAACAACCAAAACTCAAGTAGAAAAATAGAAAAATAATTTATTATCACTTTGGATTTTTTTTAAAGCAATCAGAACTATCTAGAACTTTTGCACGAGAAGGCAACCCAACGGTCAACCACTCTCTTATGTGTGAATATATTAGGAATCAAATAAATATGTATGAATATCTAATAATTATATCTCTATGTTACAGCAATACCCCCGAAAAAGCATTTTTTATTTGAGAAAATTTGATATCATACTGCTTGATATCAAGCTGACCACGGTTGGAACTAATTTGCAATGTAATAATTGCATGTATCATGATAAACTGGTAACATAATAATTTACCAATGCATTATTAAATAACTTGTTATTGCAAAAGTAAAATTAATAGGGTTGCATTCGATTTACAAAAAAAAATAACACTCCAAAAATAAATTTTAATACTCCATGATTTTATATACAAACCTGGTTTGAATGTTAAATCCAATTTAATGAAAGTAACTAAAACTTTTATATTATTATTAATTATTATTATTATTTATATTATTTAAATAATTTTTAATTTAGTATATTTAACTAATTTAATTTATATTTTTTAACTATTTTTCCAAATTTTTTCTTCACAATAGTTTATTAGTTTATTAGACACACCGTTTCGCGAGGCAGAACAAATAATACTAAACGCATTTCGAGAAATTAAAATCTATTTAGCAAGATTTTAAAGAGTTACACAATATTGTTGAACTATGAAGATCAGATTCGATTAACACGAACAGTATCGAAATTAGAAAAATAATTGTAACACAAAAAATTTATGGATATAATATAAATATATATTTATTTATTTATTTATTCATAAGCAAGCCGTAATCAATCAGCCGATATTATTTCAGGCTCTTGTCAAACTTATTCATAACTAATATTAAAAGTAATAGATATTCATAATTAATATTAAAAGTAAGATAGTAATTTTATAATAATCATAGTAGATGCATATATTTTGTATTGTTCATTCGTTATTTGTTACCACTTAAATAAATTAAATATTTACAGTTTAAATATAAATAATATTTAAACCTTGAATAGTTAAATATTTACTTTTGTAAAGTATCTACTTTATTTTGAAGTGACTAGGAACTTTTTGAACTGGAAAATATATTTTATTAACTTCATATTAAATATGTTTAATCGCTCATATTTTGAGATTTTAATACACAAAATATTTTTGACCTGCTTATTTGAATTCAACATATATCACAGCCTTTAAAGTAAAAATTTTAGGTACATTTCTACATTTGTCAAAATAAATTATGTAATTTCATCTGCCAACATATATTGTTGACTGTATCTTATATTATATTAATTTCTGGCATATCTTACATTTTTCTTGTATATTATATTCTAATATGTCTAGGCTCATAAGTGAATTAAAATTTCTCGCAGGTGACAGTTCTTATATGTAAAAATATTTTTAACGTGTTATTATTTGTATTTTTCCCATATATTTCGGCAATATTACTGTATTTTATAATCCAAAACTTTTTAAAAAATTTCCTTGACAAACTCCAAAAAGATTTATCAAAATTCGAATAACCGTTCAGGAGAAGTTTGCATTCTTACATCAGTAGAGAAGAATTTTATATATAAAATATCAATAATTTAGTAAAAAATTGTGGATTTAGAAGACCTTGTAATCAGTTTCTTTATTTTTTATGCATCTCAGCTGCTTTTCGGCAATAATATGGTAGGCATTACATTTTTTTTATTCATAATCATGAATATATTATATTCTAATCTTATCTAGGCTTATAAGTGAATTGAAATTTCTCGTTCTCATATGTCAAAATGTTTCCAAATGTCAAACGATGTATGTTGTTTTTTGTAATTTTGTCCATTTATTTCTACAATATTACTGTATTTTATAATTCAAAACATCTTTTAAAAGTTTTCCTAAACAAACTCCAAAAAGATTTATGAAAATCCGAATAACCGTTTAGGAGAAGTATGCATTCGTACATCCGCAGAGAGGAATTTCATATATAAGATATCAATAATTTAGTAAAAAATTATGGATTTAGAAGTCGTTTTAATCAATGTTTTATTTTTTGTGCATCTCAGCTGCTTTTCGGCAATAATAATGTAGACATTACATTTTTCTTGATCATTATCATGTATATATTATATTCTAATATTGTCTAAGCTCATAAGTGAATTGAAATTTCTGTCAGATGATAGTTCTCATTTGTCAAAATGTTTGGAATTT